GTAATTAAGTATGAATTTATTCATCGCACAAACTTCATAGAACATCATTAACAGTTTCAAGAATGTTAAAGGCTCATCGTGAAGGTTACGTTTCGGTTGTTTAAGCTACTTTTATCTCATTTGATTGCATTTTTCTTAGATTTAATTATCATCCCAGTTAAATTATTTATATTTTTATCCATCTTTTGCTTTTAATACTCTCAACAATTGATTAAGAGTATTTTTAATAACGATAATTGATTTAACAAAAGTATCTATTTGATAACAGCTGAAACCACTCTGTTGGATGATCTAAATAATTAAATTAATTGGATCGGTAAGATTATCTAAAGTTGTTTCCAAAAAAAAAAACAATTTATACACACGTATCAATATTTTCCATTTAAATCCTTCCTAATTCTCAAGAACAATAGATACTATTTACATTAAAAATAAAGAGTATTAAACTTTTATAAACATTAATTTTAATTTAACAATAATTAAAACTTGGAATATAATAAACAGGGATTAATTTTATGATTATATGTATAAATTTGCATTAATAAAAGGAATGGAAAATAGAAAAAAAAATTACACTTTTCTCACAGCATGACTTGCTCTAACTCTGAAAAGACAAGAGTGACCTCAAAACTGTAGAGTGATGCATCATCTTGAATTGTAACTTTGCTTTCAAACCGTTCCAATTCATCATTTTGGTTAAATGTACTTAACCGCTATTTATCTTCAGACATTATACAACTGGCAGACTTCGTTATAATTCTATAAAATCTGTTTGTAAATTAACAAATCTGTATAGAAGTTATCCACAAACTAGAAAAAGAATCTCATAAAACAACCCTTCATCTATGTATTATTATTATTATTATTATTATATAAAATTCATTTTTACTTCTATTCAATCACTTATCTAAGCTTATATATTATTTTTATTTTTTTTATAACCTCAATAGTGAGTCATTCACCCCATTTTCTTTTCTATTTCCCAGTCTATATATTCTATCATTAATCTTTACTCCACTTTATTTTTTTTTTATTTAAAAACTCTATCCATATAGATTTGCATGTCTCAACAAATCTTCGTGTGGCTTTAGTGAAATAATTATTATAAATTGATACAGATTATATAATAGAAAAATCATTGGATGAATTAATTTCGTTTGAAGAAAAAAATGAGAGAGATTTTTTTTTAATTTTTGGTTTTAAAATTCCATTTAAAAAAAAACTCTTTTTAGATTATTATTTAAATGTGTTCATTGTGCTAAAATATGCATAAATAAATGTAAATTTTTATGTTAATAAGGGAAAATAAATAATATAAATAAGTTATATATATATTAAGAGTGGGGAAGAGAGAGTTGTGTATAGAATTGCAATGGAAGTAAAAATTTACATAAATAGGTCTTTCCATCAGAAAAATCAAATGTATTCTGTCAAAATCATTTTGGCTACACTTTACGTTTCCTGTAGTATTTTACATACTTTATTTATTGCCTATTCAAAAAGACATTTCCGAGCCATTCTTTAATTTCCTTAAATTATAACTAATTACTTTATTTTTAAAGGAGATATTTCTTTAATTAAAAAAAAAATCTATAAAATAATCGATTTCAATTTTAAAAAATCAAAGTAAATAAATGCATTTAATCATTCATTCGAAATAAACATTTTTCAATGCAAATATTACAAGATGATTGCTTTTTATAGTAATTTTTTTTTAATATTTAACAGATTAAATTATTAAATATATATATTTTTTTAAATTACAAAATGTTTATTAAAGCTTTACATAATAATATTAATGGAATTGATAAATTTCTTATATAATTTAAAGCAAAAGTACTTTACTATTACTAAACGAAAATGTTGTTCGCTTCACATAATAAACTCATGCAAAGATGAAAGTTGGAATCACGCAAGAAACCGTTTACATAAACCATTATACAAATTCTTTGAAGTTTTGTTGCTTTAATTTTGTTTGACTTTGTAAGAAACGATAAATGGTTCTATACAAACATTACGTTTTGTTCGATATAGAAATATAAAATTATCATATAATAATAAAGTTAGCATGTACTGTACAAATCTAATTTTAATTCAAAATTTAAAAAATATATATAGCATCCTATTTATTAACATTAAAAACAAAAATAAAAGTAATTAAAAGAATGACCAACAGAAAACTTCATTATTATTATTAACATAAAAAAAAGAATAAATAAATATTTAAAAATTAATTGAAAAAATGAAATATAATCTAATTTATATTATATAATTTAAAAAATAATTATGAAAAAAAATAATAAATTAATAATAATAATTTTGTTGTCGAAATTATTCATGCTAATTAAAATAATAAATTACTATGAAAATTTAATTAAACTTTCTAAATCCTAAAAACAAATAATAATAAATTCGAAAGATTATAATAGCTTTATAATGCAAGCACGTGGTTAATGATGTTATTGATAGTTGTTTCCCTTTCTTTTATAACCTGTACCATCATCAAATATCCTGGTGAATAATTTTTAGATAAGTTAGTTTTGAAATATGAATGCCTATTAACGTTAATAAACAGTTCAATTATCTCATACACTACTTTCGCTTCGATATTCAAAGATTGCTTCTTTATTTTCTCTTCTTTTTCTTTTTTTATTTTAATTTTCTGATACTGATATTACTTAAACACGTATACTTACTCTTTCCATATTGATGGAATTTCTATGGCAACTTTCCATGTTTTTTTTTTTTTTAAACTCTTCCTTCTCGTTACTATAGTTACGAGTTACGTCATTCTCGTGTACGTGAAACACTCATTAGGAAAAATAATCACGAAATGTAGAAGCGCTTCTGTTATCTGTACGTTCCTAAACGATATACCTACTAATTAAACATATATTTTGTTCCATTTTAATGATTTTTATTTAAACTATATTTTATTATTATTTTTTTTAAATTCTCCGTAATTTTTTTAAGTTATACAATTCGAAATATTCAATTAAATAACGATGACTTATAATTCAATGATAAATCGTGTTTTGCAGGAAAGCCATACATCAACATTTTTTTTTCCTTCATCTCGGTCTCTTGCCGATTCTCATGCTGATAAAATTTCGTAATAATTCTCATTTTTATGGTTCAATATCTAATATGATAAATTTTAAAGTTCCTTTTAGGAATTTCTTTTTTTTCCTTTGCATTTTTCTCCTATTAAGAAAAATGTTTGTCTTTCGATTGTCGGTTTGATTATTCTTTATAAGAGCAATTGTTTATAGAAATTTATCATTGGAAATTTTATTTTCTTATTTTTTAACCGATAATTTCGTTTAAACTGAACAGAAAATTAGCATTTAAAATATCTCATTGCTTAATAATAAAATTCTACTCGCTACAATGGATATTTCTTAGTAAGTTTTTAAAAATAAAAACTATTTTTTTAAGATTTTTCTAACAAATTAGAATTTACCTAAGAACAAAATTTAATAATTCTGCTTATAAAATAAATTTTTATTAAAATAAATAAAGTTTATCGGAATAAATTGTATAGAAAATTTTATTCAAAACTTTTTTTTTGTTTTTATTTAAAAAAAAAAAACTAATAAACCTCTTCTAAAAATGTTTAAATTTTAAAATAATTTTTTTAAAAATAAATTATTAAATTATGTACCAAAATATACCGAATTTCGTATTATTTTATATTTAAAACGTTTAAATTAAAGAAACATGAGCTGTATTTTTTCAATTGCATTTTATTTTTTTCTGATTGACAGTATCTAACTGGATACGTGGATACGACGTATCCATGTAATTCAATAGATTAATAAAAAATAAAATATAAAACTTTATTATCCATTTTATTCTTTTCAGGAAATCTAATGAAATCATTTCCTAAGAAAAAGATTCTATAGCAAGATATAAATCAAATTATGGCATAAACTGTATTACTTCATCACTCGAGTCACATAATCAGTTTTTCTATAGTTTAGAATTTATTTTCGTGTTCTTTTTCTCTCTCCTTCCCTTCAGAGAGCATCTCATGACTGTAAGGATTACGACACATTGGAAACATAAAGAGCACAATAAAGTATTGTATATATCCCTATAATCCAGGTAGAACATACAGTTCTTCCTTACCTCTCGTCTATCATGGACCAAAATGTTCGTGACTAAAGTGATAAAACAACGAATACGTTACAAACATTCTATAAAGCTTCTCCTTGCACAAAATTCACGTTTTGATGCGGTAAGAATATTAAAACTGGGTTCTAACTCGTTGAGAGGCATAATGTGGCATCACAATGTGTTTTCGTCATGTGGGTATATCTAAATTTAATGATGAATAAAATCTTGTTTGAATACTTAAAAAGGGTTGACAATTCGTATAAGTTTTACTTTCATTTCTGATATTTTCAATCATTTTTTTAACTTAATATATTTAGAACCTAGTTAACAATTTAGAAATGTGAGGGGGGAAGTAGAATGCTTTGTGAGATTTTTAGTATCTTCCTAAAACGGTGTAAAATATAACCTATAAATATACATATATGCAGGACACTTTAAAAAAAAATGTAAATGTTTCTTCAATTCAATAATCATAAATAAATAAAATGCTCTCATTTAATATTTATTTTCGAAATATTTAAATATCGTACACTGTGACCGAATTTCCAGACTGTTATAACTGACTAAAATTCGTGTTTTAAGACACAAAAATGAAATTTTTTACTACTTTTTGAATGCTTTTTATTATGGAAAAACGTAAATATGTTATTATACGAATATTTCATCGAAATTTCAATTAAATTATAAAAAATACGTCATCGTTTTTGCTTACGAATCGATCCAAAATTAATATTTTGACGTTAAAAATCAAGTTCTAGTAATAAAAAAACCGCTCTTAAATTTATTAATCAGAAGATTATTTACACTTAAAAAAGCTTTTAATCTCTAAAAAAACACGTTTAAACACATATTTATAAGATAAAATTAAAAGATACCTTTTAATCTCTTCAAATCTTCTTCCTCATTGGAGTATCACTTATTGATCTTAAGTATATATGACATTTTTTGGATTCATAAAAATTCAATGTATTCTCATCGATCACTAAAAATTATAATAAACGATTTAGAGAATACTTTACGTAGAGGAATAGATGGGAAAATGTGAAAAAAAAACAATGACAACATGGATCCCTTCAATCTTTTCTAGGTATGACACAGATTATCTTTTCATGGCATGTTCATCAACTTATCCAGATTGGTTGTCAAGTTACTTTCGCTAAGAAAAAAAGAAATAATAATCAATAATAGCATTATCTTGAGAGGAAAAAAAACTAACTTTTAATGGGATTATTACACTTATTATCTATAGAGCATTATAACATTAGCAAAGAATTAATAGATAATGATAAACTTAAGATGTGAGGTGATAAAAATATCTATCCAATTTATAAACTTTAAACAATAAGAAAATAATGGATAAAGTTATACCATAATAATGTTTAAAGTTATACATGTACAGAGTGGCCCTGAAGTCAATTAACTGTGTTTTTTCTTAGAAAAACTCAGTAATTTTTACAAAAAAGTCAGCAATATTCGCATTAAAAAGTGTTGCAATTTGTGAACTGTACAAGGAACAGTGTTTGTAAAGTAATAAGAAATTTAAATAAGACTTTTAATTTAATCTTTATAACGGTTAACTGATTTTTTAGCCACATTTTATATTATTCTTTGAAAGAAAATAAAAATTTTTTAATAAAAGAAAATAAATAAAATAGATTTTGTGGAAAATTTATAAATATATTTACCACTTAAACTAAACTGACAAAATGTATTTACAGAAAAGTAAATATATTATTATTAAATTTACATAAATATTCTAATAAAAAATAGAATAAATATTTCAAATTACTTATTATTGGCAAATACGTATTTTTAAAATAATTTTGATAAAAATTGTTTCTAGAACTTTAAAAGAGAATTTTATTTTGAAAATTTTTAACAAATTATTTCATTATTATTATTATTATTTAAATTAAAATAATTAAATTATCCAATGGAAACATGCAAATTACTTTCAATATAAATTTATGCATTATATATCCTTATTTTTGTTTAATTTATTCAATAATACCCCGATTACTATGCTTAAAATAAGTAAAAATACGTCTCACGAGAAGAATAAATTATGTTTTAGGAAATAGAAATTTGTAAACACAAATAAAAATTCTACATGATGAAGAGCATACACACGTGATACGTTTTACACATGATAATAAATGAATACCCCTAACAAAACAAAGGAAAATTGTTACTTATTTTATAAAATAATACAAACAAATACATTTGTATGTACTAAAATATTAATAAACCTGTCATTTATCGTCTTAATATGTCACAAATATGTAAATATCCACATACAACGTTGAATATTTTTTTAAACATACCTTAAGCTTTATGTAATATAACTTTATGTAAACTGAAAGTGTAAATAAATAGGAAACTTGTAAAATATCTTTCGTAAGATCATACAGAACATGCAAACAATCCATACTGCATTATTTACTACGAAGCTATACAAAGATATATAAAGATATTTCACTTATATATAACATATAGACTGCTATAAAAGGCTTTTATATAAGGAATAATATACTTTATGTATGAATATACAGACCTAACATTTTAATATTTATGTGACCTGTACAGTCAAGTGACGCATACATAACCATATGTATATATTTACAACTTGTATCTAGATTAATGTGAAAAATAATATCGATTTGACATTTTATAGCCATTTTACATTAATTATAACTCTTTATGTTGAAAGTAAATTAACTATAAAATGTATATAATATTATAGTTATATAAAGATAACATAAGGGTGGCCCAAAAGTTAGTTAGCACGTGTTGTTAGCAAGCAATCCAGTAATTTGTGTGTGTGTGTGTGTGTGTGTGTGTGTATGTGTCAAAGCTCTGTAATTTGTGTATTAAACAAGAAAGATGTCATTTTGAACAAATTTTTTTTTAGTTCGTAAGTAATAAATTATTTGAATGAGACGGAAATTTAGTTTTTACAATGGTTAACTGACTTTTGAGCTATCCTGTGTATTGTATGTAACACTAAATATCACATTTTATGATCAAATTAAACATTTGTATCTCTTATTACGATTACTAACTGTAGGTAGATATATACAGGGAGGCCCGAAAATAAGTTAACAGCCGTAAAGACTAAATTGAGGTCTTATTTAAATACTTTATTACATATAAAGTTTACAAAAAAAAATTAAAAAAAAAAATACTATTCAGAATGACATCTTTCTTTTTCAATCGTTAATTTTCTTACAAAAGAATAGGGTTAAATAACTTTTGGACCACTTTACATATAAGTTTATAAACTTTCTAATGATGTAAAATATTAATTATGCAGCAAAATACTAGAATTTTTATAACACTCCTCGAAGAAAGAATAATAATAATAATAATTTTATTCTTAATTTAAAAAAAAACCAAACAAATCTTGGAAACATTTGAAAAATTTAAAGATTTAATTAAATTTTTTCCCATTTTACATTTGTTTGTTAATTCTATAATCTTTTGTTAGTTTTCTCTCAATGAAAAGAAAGGGGAAAAATATATATATATACTTCATTCATTTTTTCTAGTATCAAAACGAAGAGATTTTCATCTCCAGGACAACACGAAAACATTCCCCACCCCCTTCAGATACACGTGGAGTGCTATTGTTTGCTATACAAATTTCATTAGATTGTATGAGTTTGTATGACGATCATTGTAATTTTTTTTTTGTTCTCTTTTATAAAATTTTACGTGTCTTCTTGACCGAGTTAATAGTATTTGTAAGAAGATTACACGTATATCAAGTGGCAGATTGTATTGCATAAGCTGTTCAGTCATGTGTGTAGATTATAAACCATCTGCAAACTTAGAAAAGAAGTTAGAGATCTTTAAAACTCTAGCAATTTTTATAGATTATTAAGCTCGAATATCTTACGTAATTGTCTAATGTGATTTTTTACGTCTTAAATACAATGTTAAATACAATATATATAATTTTTTTTCTTCATTGAGAGAAGGAAATGAAGCCAACGAACTTTTCTTTAATGACATTTAAAGACATGAAAAACGATTAAGTGATGATAAATAACATTCAATGACTTGTTTTTTTTTTCCTCGACTTAATAATTTAAAACTGATGATTTTTCTAGCAAAAATATAATAAAAAAATTATGATTATCTGGGGAAAATAATTAATGAATTTTTGAGAGAATTTTCTCAAATGTATGAAATTTTTTTTCTAAATATATTCGATAATTTTCTTTAATTTTTTTTACAAATTATCAAATGATTTTTAGTTTTAAATAATTAAAAAATAATTTTAAAAATTTTAAATCGTTATTTCATTTTATTTAATTAATTATCTTTTTATTTTTGAATTTTTCAGTATAATTTATTTTTACAAATTATTAAATGATTATTTTAAATTTAAAAATGATTATAATATTTTTAACATAATATGAAATCATTTTTCAATTTATATAGAAAATTTCCCACAAAATTAAATAATTATTAATTTTTCCATTATTTTTGGCTAAATTTTTTGGGGGAATTTTTCTATATATAGATTAATATAAGAATCATAGACCTTCGTATCAGAATAAAATAAAATAATTACAGTAGAGCGTCGTTTATCCGAAACGTCGGTTATCCGAAGGAATTCCAGTCGACAAACTTAAATTTTCGCCAGTGCTGTGGCGCTGCAATCTTTGGCTATGTGTTCGGCTACTTAAATATTTTACGTTTTTTATACTAAATTAACTTCTGAAGTATAATTTTTTATTGTTTTTATATTTTTCAATATATTTATTTTATTCGTACAAAATAAAAAAATAATTTTTAACGATACAATAGTCTTCGTTAGGCTTAACATCGACGAAAATTCAACGCGAAGCGACACGCAACGGAGAAAAATTTCAACACGGGATAAATTAATATATTTTTTCGTACATAATTGGTTATCCGAAAAATAAGTTATCCGAACAACCCCAGTCCCCAATTGATTCGGATAAACAACGCTCTACTGTATAAATATTTTTATTTATTTTCTTAATTTTTTAAATTATTATTCTTATATTCGTTAATAATATTTCAGAATATTTTTTAAAAAAATAATCTAATATAAACACTCCAAAATTTAAAAAAGAAAATTATTAAATTAAGGGGGAGTGGCATACAAACATGGCTGCTGGCGCTTTTTTATATCAGCTCGTGAAAATAAATCTTTATAATATTGATATTAACGCGTAACTCCCTTTTTTAAACTAAAATAAAAACCGTATTAGTGCTTTTACTGCTATCGAGGATTAAAACAAATCCCTGATTGACCTTTACCGTCATTGTAAAGATCGATCAGGGATTGATCTTTGTAGTGATCCGGGAGAATAGGACCAGTCAAAGGAAGTCTTCCCTAAGTGAATTTTAAGAAAAATTTTATTACAGATCCGCAAAATAAATATAACAACGCATATAATACGACTTAGAATTACTTTATTTGTCTAATTGAAGTTAATTAATTGTGTAACGTTCTTTGAAAAACAATAGAGAACACGTGCGAAGGTTTCTCTGAACCTATATTCTCGAAATCCTGGATACGTTCTGATAAAATTTCGGCCATTTCAACTACAGAACCGTGGATCAGATTATCAGAATTAATTAATTCTTCAAGTGTAAAATCCATTTGATCAAACGATATCCATTAAAGAATAGTTTAGTTTCTGCTTGAGGATGTATTAGTGAACTAAAAGATTACTTTAATGAACTGGAAAATAAAATAACAGAAGTGGAAATGCAAACAGATAAGTTAAACAGAGATAATGAGAAGTTGCAATACGGATTCAATTCATTAATAAACTACATAAACCAAAACAATTTGATCTTACATAATTATCTTTCGACAGTAAAAATATTACTAAAGAAGATGTAGTTGATTTTCTAAATGACATGTTAAAACTAAATAAAGTAGAATTTAGTGATTGATCGATGTGCTAGGACAAGGCAACGTAACACGTGGACAATCTGCCAAGGGGGGTGTTCCTTGGGAAGACTTTTATGGCAAACTGACTCCCTATTTAAGTGCTTTATGGAAACTAGCCCCTATTTAAGCGCCCACGTGAATAAAACACGAAAAACTCCACGTGGCTAGCCCGTTGGTGAAGAGCGAACCCGCCACCAACTACCAGTGTTCAGTAGTTT